GACGCCCCCGATGCGCTTAGGCGCTTGGGAATTACAACGGTACTAAAACCAAGGATGGCTTCTCCACGTCCTCCTTTTGTCTTCCTTACCTGTCCTTGGCTTGTTGTAGGCAGGCATGCCTGTGCCTGACGTTCTGCGTTCTTGGAATTCTGACACAAAGCGGCGGACATCACAAAATGGCGGCCACGGGAGGCGGAGCCAGCCACAAAATGGCTGCCGTGGGAGGCGGAGCTAATAATAAAATGGTGGCAACCGGACCCTAGTAAATTTGTTACTTGTTAATCTGGATTATTATTGTTTTTAAATGTTTTAATGTTTATTTTTTATTTTGTTCAATTTCTGTCCGCCCTCCCCACAAAGCAGACTCAGAGTGGGTTACAAGGTCACACAGAAGTCGTGACAATAACAACATATAAATTAAACAACTTTAAAAACAGCATTTTAAAATAATAATAAAAGACCAACCGGTAGAGAAGCCTCAGTAGCAATGCTCAGTTATGGCCGGTCAGCAGCCAGCTTTTTCAGCAAGGGAGGCCAGATAAAGACTTGGATGTCCACCGCCTCAACGGAAAGCACGGCGGAACAGCCCCATTTTGCAGGCCCTGCGGAATTGTAACAGATCCCGCAGGGCCCTGATCTTAAATGGGAGCTTGTTCCACCATTCTATGTATTCTATGTCTTTTACTGACAGGTTGTGACCCGCCCTGAGCCCTGTTGCGGGAGAGGGCGGGATATAGATCAAATAAATAGGAACTAGAGCAAACCACAAAATGTCAGGGAGCAAGGAGGAACTAGAGCAAACTACAAAATGTCAGGGAGCAAGGTTATATTTTATTTACGTATTTATATCCCACATCTCACACCAAGGGGGACCCGAAGCAGCTTACATCATTTCCCCTCTTCAGCATTTCAGGCCGAAGCTCTTTTTAACAGCCTGCCTTTTAATCTACACAGCCAATCAGAAGCCCTGCTGGGCAAAAGCCCCGCCCACTTCCTGAAAGAGCTGTCTGAAAGCACCAGGAAGGGTGTCGGTGGGCACCGGGGAGCCCATGGGGCACCACGTTGGGGACGCCTGACGTTGATCCTACAGGAAGACAGGGCCAGTGGAAAGGAAGTAGTTGGGGCCTGAGACTCCAGAGGAAAGGTGAACTTGGGAACGGTCAACAGCAGTGTGAAGAGGCCAGAGGTTTAAGATGCAGAGGGAAGGAAGGCTATGTGTTTAAAACCCTAGTTTCTCCTCTTCCCTGTTTTTTATGGGATCGACACGGAAGATAACTTCTGCAATTATTGCTTCTGACCCACATAGCTTAATAAGGGCTCGGTAAGCCATATGATCAGGCCCGAGATTAATTTCCGTATCTCCAATTATAGCACATGCTTTCCTTGTCCGCCGTTTTCTTATTCAGATTTAAAAGCTCCATTGGAAGGGAACCCGTGGTTGACGCCCATCTCTGCAGTTCTTGGTGTTGCTGCCTGCGGCACAGTGCCAATGAACCCTGTAGCCTCTTAGCACAACCCACGCGATCGAGAAAAGCTCTCATATATATATGATCGTCAGTTGTGGTGGTCAGCGCCAGACCGGATCCTGGAATAAAATATCGGCACTTTAACGGCTCCGTATAAGAATTAGATGTGTTCATAAATGCAGATGTCTTCTGTGTGTTCTTCGTCCACCCCCAGCGAGTTTCTGAACAGAGCTCCGAAGCACTGAATGCTGGTTGTGTAACTTTTGGGGCTGCGTTCCCACAACCTGATAAGAACAGAATGTGTTTTGATGACAGTGTTCCTTTCCCACCTTCCTGGGTACAGGAGCCTTGAACTATTTTACAAGGAACTCTAGCACTTTTTCCTTTCTGCGACTTCAAAGACCGTGGCCCACACGGGCGGCGAAGCCGAAACCCGGCCTTTCAAAGGGCCAGTTATTCACAAAAAAAACACTGTTTTGGGACAGAATTGGGGTGAAACTTTTTTCTTCTTTCTTTCTCTTCTTTTGGTAAAGGCTGAAAGGGCTCCGTATTCAGTTTGCGGCTTGTTTTTGCCAAGGCCGAGAAGTTTAGGGTTTGTTTTTCCCCCAGCCAGGAAACGAGGGCATCAAGCGATGGAGAAGAAACCGGCTGTAACGAGTTACCATACAGGAGAGAAGGCCCAGATGTATCCCGTCGCTTGATGCTTTTCAGTATAGCAATAACGCCTTCCCGGATGCCGGCTTTACAGTGCTAGATAGATTCGTTGTGTGTAAAAACAGTCTGCTTTTTATGGGAAGCCATAGTAGGTTTACGGCTAGGCGTAAAACTCCATTCAAAACCATCCCGATGTATATTCAGATCCTCTTTCAAAGGAAGTAGTGGCTTCAGCTAGTTTTTGCATCATGTTTTCTCCTTGGGTAGGTCGAAGGCAGGTCGGGTTCCTCTCTGAGCAAGAGAACTGGTGAGGCCATTTTGACCGTAACTCGGTGTTCAGAACTGCCCTTGATATGCAGGACTTTACTTACCTTGAACTTTGCCTTATCTGGCATCTCGTAAGGAACTTCTCACGTTGGGTAGCAAAAGGAACTGCTGGTGTGAAGTTAGATTAATAATTCTCAGACCTTCGAGTGTCCTCGGATCGTGGGTTGGCGCACGAACCTCCCTCTTTACTCGACTTTACAGCAGCGTTTTTAGCTCGCTTGCGAAAGGTTCCTGGGCTAAAAGTCCAGGTTCCTGATCAATACAGTTTGCCACAACGAGGCTGGAGTTCATGGGCTGCTTCTGCTTTTAACCCATTTGGCTTCGTCCCTGTTCCTTCCCGGGGTCTTTCTCATTCTTCAAAAGCACTGCCCCTCAAGTAGTTGGAAGATGCAAAGCCGCCCTCCTCCCTCTGTCTTCGAGACAGCGCTGTTATCAAGACCCCCTTTTTTAGAAATATCGTCGCCTGACTTAGAAACCCATTTCTGGCCTGCAGAGTTTGGTGCTCACTCGAGAGCCGACTAGCATAGGCCGAACTGCAGAGTCCGTCAGAGGCGAGTCAGGCGACTTCTGCATGGCATTACGAGTTCCCGTGCTTTAATTCATAGCGGTGCATAAGATGTCGAGCGAGCAGATCTTCCCCCGGAAAGCACCAGGGCATTTTTTGTAGCCAAGGAGCGGGAAGGGGAAACTAGACCCTGGAATTAAGAGGAACCTTATTTGACTGCCCAGTACAGAGCTAGATCATATTTACTTGCGGCGTTTGCTCGAACTTGAGTGTATGAAGAGGAACCGTTTCCCTGTCTTCCTTGAGGCTTGGAAGGCCGCTGAATTTTGTAGCCTCCGTCGTCAGTGGTAGTCCAGTGTCTCCTTGCAGGTTTATTATTGTCTCTTGTCCCTTTTAAATTGTCTGCTGCACAGTTCAGTGGTTGGCTAGGGGTGCTAGATGGAAGGCAGGTAAAGAATCAGAACCGAATGACCTCTTTGTCCCTTTTCCAACCCCTCCGTGCCCCGTCATGCGCAGAGGGAACAGCTCACGGGGTTTTTTCTTAAAACAATCCCAATACCATCCATGCGTCAGTCCCTTACTGAAACAATCCAAGAAGAAGAGTTGGTTTTTATACCCCGCTTTCTCCCTACCTTAAGGAGTCTCAGACTGGCTTACAATCACCTCCTCCTCCACCTGAAACCAGCTGGGTGACCTTGGATCAGTCACAGTTCACTCAGAGCTCTCTCAGCCCCACCGACCTCACAAGGTGTCTGTTGTGGGGAGAGGAAGGGAAGGAGATTGTAAGCCGCTCTGAGACTCCAAGTGAAGGGTGGGGTATAAATCCAACTCTTCTTCGTCTCCTCCTCCTCTCCCCACAACAGGCACCTTATGAGGTTGGTAGGACAGAGAGTGACTGGCCCGAGGTCTCCCAGCAGGCTTCAGGTGGAGGAGAAGTGGGGAATCAAACCCAGTTCTCCTGATAGAGTCCGCCGCCCTTAACCACTGCACCACGCTGGATGTTACTTGTCTCTTTGGCATGGGCCTCTAAGATTCTGGAAGAAGCATTTGCTTGGTATACTGCATTGTCTGTGGGTTGCGATGATCCTGTTGCCTTTTGAAAAGCGCTTTATCTCCAAAGTCTGGCAGAATACCTGGGGACCCATCGGCCTGCCTGTTGAACGGTGCAAAAAACCCAGCCGGTAACGGAAAGCGGGGGCCATTTTGAAAACCATAAAGGTCGTCAGTATAAAAGAAAATGAGAAATAAAAGATTGGCAACTTTGATTTCCAGATAGTGGTGATCAAGAAGAGATTGGATTTATACCCTGCCCTTCACTACCCAAAGGTGTCTCAGAGCGGCTCACAAACTCCTTTCCCTCCCCCTCCCCACAACAGACACCCTGTGAGGTAGGTGGGGCCGAGAGAGCTCTGACAGAAACTGCTCTTTTTCAAGAACAGCTCTTATCAGAACTACGGCTTGCCCAAGGTCACACCAGCAGCTGCAAGTGGAGGAGTGGGGGATCAAACCCGGACCTCCCAGATTAGAGTCTGCGCTCCTAACCACTGCACCAAACTGGTGTACTGTGACAGTTAATACCTATCATCGTGTTCAATATACTCGCACTTTTATCACTTATAGCAAATCTGAAAGTGTGAATTCCTCAGGGCAGGAGCCGGTCACCTTCAAGCACCGTGCGCGTGTCGATGGCGTGAGATGGCCGATCAGCGTAAAGCCGGGAAAGCATCGCATTAAACTTTTATTTCTGTTCGTGCCGAAGACGAGCGGAGCCAATCGGGAGGCGTGAGTGGAGCTGGCTTCTCCCCAGCTCTTTGAGTTGCAAAGAGAGGAAGTTCCAAGGGCCAGCTTCCTGACCTTAATGCCGAAAACAAAACGCAGCACACCTTCCGTTTTGCCTCGGCTTCACTTTGTCCTTCGCGAGGATCGCGAGCGGTCCGATCGTAACCGTCATCGTTTAGTGGTGTTTTGGTGAAAGTTAAATCCCGGCCAACCCCAAAAGTAACTCTGATTTTTCTTCCTTTTTCCTTTTCTTCCCCTTTTGAACCCAGAGCACAACAATGGAAGAAACGGCGATATGGGAACAACACACGGTGACGCTTCACAGGGTAAGCTGCTGCCGTTAAGCCTTTTGTGCGTGGGTCGCTCAGGATGCTGTTGGCCCTGGGAAACAATGGCCAAAGCCCAGATGTCCGGAAAGGGAGGGGGAATGGATTGTGTGCTATTCCTGTGATTGAAATGACGGGGGTGGTGAATGGGTTTTAGTAGGGTGTTTGGTAAACTTGGCGGCCTCTTTTCTGTAGCTGTACGTCGTGCTGGCGACTTCTAGGCATTTAGAAGGGAGGTAAATTCTGAACAACTTGCAAAGCAAACTTGGTCTTCTTCCTTGACGTTTAACTGTCCAACAGTGTGTGCATCACCACAGAGAACTAGAGTTGCCAACATCCGGGTGGGAAATACAAAAACTAAGGGTCACGGTGTTAGGAAGACTAGAGATGTGAAGGCCCGGGGAAAAAACGGGAAAATTCGGGGAAAAAACTTTTTTTTCTTCATTTTTTTCCTGAAGCCTTTTTGGGTTTTTTTCGAAAAATTGGAAAAATTGAAAAAAGAAAAGAAAAAAAATGATTATGGAACGTTTTATTTTAATATGATTAATAAAATATTTTAAGACAAGGTGTTCAAATATTTTCCAAATCATTTCTAAAATATATATATATGGTATCAGATTGATCTAATTTCTGTGCACTGAGGACAAGTAAGTCCTAGGTTATAAACTGAACTCTCCAATGCAAGAACAAGATGCATTTCTTCCTTTAGGAGGTGCAATTGTCAGAAGAAAATAAAAAAGTTTCACTTTTCTTTTTACATGTGGGTGGGTATTCTGTTTGTAATAATTGTTTGGATACACTATATTTTTAATATGCTAGTTGTGGATACACTATATTTTTAATATGCTAGTTGTGATAATTTCATGCCAAGTAAAAATGTCTATAGTCATATTTTATGTTCCTAAAGTAACAGAATGACTTTCAATCTAGAAAGGACAAAAGAAATGCTAATGTAGCATTTTTTTCAATTTTTCCAAAAATTTCTGTTTTTTTCCAGAAAAAAACGGAAAAAAAACGGGGGGTTTTCCGAGCTTCAAAATTTCTGGAAATTTTACATCTCTAAGGAAGACATAAAAAAATATATATCACTGTGTACAATAAATATATGCTTATGGTAAAACAATGTTATGCTTTATTCTTTTTCTATTTTTCAATACTGTTGTCTAAATATTGGTATCAAATATTATCAAAGAGCTACTTCACCCTAACAATACATAGAGAAAAAATGTTTCACCCAAACAATACATCGAGTGCAGGTTTACATTCAGACTAGTGATAGTGTTAGTGACAAGGTGCTGTCTGAATGTAAACCTGCACTCGATGTATTGTGTGGGTGAAACATTTTTTCTCTATGCCTTGTCCGGGTGAAATATATTTTTGATAATATTCGTTACCAATATTTAGACAACAGTAATTGAAAAATAGAAAAAGAATAAAGCATAACATTGTTTTACCATAAGCATATATTTATTGCACCCAGTGATATATATTTTTGTATGACATCCAGGTGGGGCTTGGAGATCTCCTGCTGTTACATCTGATCTTCGGACAGTAGAGATTGGTTCCCCTGGAGAAAATGGCTGCCTCGGAGGGTGGACTGTATGGCATTATATTCTGCCGAGGTCTCTCCTGTTCCGAAACCCTGCCCTCTCCAGGCTCCGCCCCCAAAATCTACAGCTATTTCCCAACCCAGAACTGGCGACCCTACAGAACAGTGGAAGGGAAGGTGTGTGGTCTACCCTGCAAGCTTTCCCTCCCTAGGCCCAGTGCGCTTTGCCTTTTTGGGAAGTCACAAAATGCATTATTTGGCCCATATAGTTCAGCTTCCTAAGAATTCCGTTTCCCGGAGATGTGAATCCTTAGATCAGTTAAGATGGTTCTGTTCCGGAGGGCCTTGGAGGGGGAACTCAAATATTGACACAGTTTGTGTTTGGTTTATTATACCATAGGTTTTAAAAGATTGTTATTTATATGGAGCAGAGGTCCATCAGTGGCTATTAGCCACAAGGTATAGGTAGGAACTCTCAGTCTGGGGCAAGTGATGCTCTGTCTTCTTGGTGCTTGGGAGGGGGCAACAGTGGGAGGGCTTCTGGTGTCCTGGCCCCACCGCTGGACCTCCTGATGGCACCTGATTACAAGCATGGACGGCTTCAAAAGGGAATTAGATAAGCATATGGAGCAGAGGTCCATCAGTGGCTATTAGCCACAAGGTATAGATAGGGGCTCTGGGGCAAGGGATGCTCTGTCTCCTTGGTGCTTGGGGGGGAGGCAACAGTGCGAGGGCTCCTAGTGTCCTGGCCCCACTGGTGGACCTCCTGATGGCACCTGGTATTTCTGGCCACTGTGTGATACAGAGTGTTGGACTGGATGGGCCACTGGCCTGATCCAACACTGGCTTCTCTTATGTTCTTATGATTTTTTAAAAAAACTTTTGTGTTATCTTATGGCCGCTTTTTTAGCTTCTGTGTTTTTTTAGCTTGATTTGAGCCGGCTGTGGGGTGTATTTCAACCGTTCTTACGTTCATTTTGGTGCGTTTGTTTGTTTGTTTTAAAGCTTGATTTCATTTGCTGTTTATCTCAGGATGCAGTGTTGCTTTTTATCTTGGAAGGCGCACAGGGTACTTTTAAAAGTAAAAGGACGGGGTATGAATCTGACTAATAAATGAAACTCGAGACTTAATTCCTTTGGCAAAGGCAGTTGGGGTTCTGGCTGGTGCTCCCTCTAAGCCAGGGGTGTCAAACATGCGGCCCAGGGGGCCAGATCAGGCCCCCGGAGGGCTTCCATCAGGCCCGCGGTGGAACTGGCCGTCTCCTGCTTCCAGTTCTGCTGCTGCTGCTGCATCATCGCTTGCTTTGCCAGACTCTCTTAATCGCTCAGCCATTTCATGTTTTAACCTGGGTCCTAGACTCAGAACTCTGAGCATGAGAGTTCTGTGGTGAATGTCAATAAACCAAAAGTAGGTTTGCAGTTTACAGATACACACCTGAACAGCATACTCAGGATTGCAACAGCACAGACATTTTGATGCAATAATTCAGAGCAAGGAGGCGCCAGTTATCAGATACTGCTAAATAAACAAAATATTGCAAGAGCGCTCATGTTTTAAGCATGTCTTTATTTTAAGTTAAAAAAAAATCTTTGTGTTTGTGCCCTTGATAACGTTTATCTCTCCGCTACCTGGCATTACAGCTTATGACACACCTGGCCCGGCCTGACAAGGTCTCATTTATGTCCAATCCGGCCCTCCTAACAAATGAGTTCGACCACCCCTGCTCTGAGCTGTAGAGTCTTGTGCACAAAAAATTCTTACTTTGTGAGCTACTGGCATTAAAAGTTGTAAATTAGTTTGCTCTGGAGCCATCTAAGACAAGAAATGTGTGAGCCGGAGGCTAAAATAACCCCTGTGAGCTGGCTCACACTTAACTCAGCTGAGAGGGAACACTGGTTCTGACTGGCTAGAATAGGTGTTTGGGGGGGGCTGCGTTGAAGTGCGGCCGGAGCAGCCAGGAAGGAAGCTCTCCTCTTCTCCCACCCACTCTCTTCCTCTCCTGCTCGTGTCTGTAGCCCGCACACGAGTCTAGGGGGGGAAATGCCGTCATGGTTTTGTTCCCCCTCTTCCTGGGCTAGGGGGGAAGCCCCTGTAGCCCCCCCGTCACTGCTACGACTAGGCCAGACCCACTGCCTAGCCGTGCGCGCTTGGTGGGGGAAGGGAGATCAGATAAGCTTCCGTCTGCGGGAAACCAGCTGTCTTTCCCTTTGCTTCTGGAAATTCTGGGATGCACAGTGTGTCTGTGCGGTAGTGCTTCCCACCAGCCCAACGAGGAGGAAGGGCAGCCGCCGCCAGCCGTGTCGTGCCGTGACAAACTTCAGCCGGACAAGTTTGCACACGGTCGACTTATTTTTAAAACGAGTGGCTCGCACCGTATACTTAAGGGCGGTTAAGGACTGGTCTGGGTAGCTCGCGTCGCCACCCCGTAAGCCACAGGATGATGCGGTCCGAACACTGGGCGTTTTTCAGGACTGACTCAGCTAATACCGGGGTCTCTCCCCTCACACACCCCCCCCAGGCTGTGTTCCCTCTAAGCTGAGTGAGTGTGAGCTCGCTCACAGTTTTTTGGCCTCCGGCTCACAGGTTTTTGTCTCGGCTCAGGAAAGACGGCTGCGGAGCAAACGAATTGATGCAGCGGCCAAATCGCTCGCTCACAATTTCAATGCCTGTAAGCTCACAAAGTGGAGCTGCGGTGGCTCAAGTGGTTAAGACGCTGAACCTGCAGGCTGTGGAAGGGCGGTCGTTCAGCAGTTCGAGACCCGGGTGCCGCATGACGGAGTGAGTTCCCATCTCTAGTTCCAGCTCCTGCCAACCTAGCAGTTCAAAAGCAAGAAATGGCAAGTAGATAAATAGGTACCGCTTCGGTGGGAAGGTGACAGCGTTCTGTGCGCCTTGGTGTTTAGTCATGCCGGCCACATGACCACGGAAACTTCTTCGGACAGCGCTGGCTCTTCGGCTTTGAAACGGAGATGAGCACCGCAACCCTAGAGTCGGACTCGACTGGCTTTCGAGCAAGGGAACCTTTACCTTTCCCTTTTTTAAGCTCACAAAGTAGGATTTTTGCTCACTGCACTGCTGGCTCCTCCAGTCCGCCCACATGGGTTTTCTTTTGCACCCCTCTCCCAGCCCAGGGGGCCTTGCAGTGAGGATACAACAACTCGGACCTCACCAGCTGTTATCCTTTATACAGTTTATCTCTCCGGAACCCTGCATTGCATTTTATTGCACATGTGGCCCGGCCTGACATTTGTCTCATATCCAGCCCTCGTGACAAACGATCCTCTCTCGTGCCAGGATAAGGAGTCTGAATGATCTACCGGGATATTACTGTGCTCAGGGCCGGCGTCTGCAGTGGGGGCGGCTGCCAGGGCTCCCGCGGCTTCTGGCAGGGCCCACAACCCTCACCCCTCTGTTATTCACTCGCTCGCGTTCTGCCACCTGTGCTTCCAG